ACAGTCACTACTTGCTCAAAAAACTGGCAGAAACCCCCCGGGGACGGACAAGAATAACCTTAGCCAAATGTCTCCAGTGACTTAAATCCAGGTTCGGATTATTTTCTGGCGGAGCTCAACGTTGACACAGGATCGGGGAAAGTCGGAGACACTGTGCAACGCCTCTGCCTCAACGACTCGAATGGATAAGCGGTTTTCGAAGCTGAGTGACTGATATAAGTTTCTTATTTACATGGGACTTTTTTTACCTAACGAAAACGCATGCTGTGGCTTATTCAGATCTCAGCCATGATGTATGCAAAGTCGCAGAAGCAAGATTATATTGCTAATCATGGGATGGGGACATTGCTACTCATCTTGGAAGTGGACCGAAGTCAGTCTTACCACAAGCTCTTGACCGCAGTTCTAATTTCTCTTGTTACTTTCGGCGTGCTTTTGCCGCTCCGGCGCCTGTTCACCTTCTGTTTCCATAGGGCAGATGATTTATCATCTACAATTCGAGAAGTCAGTACCCACCTCACCTTCTGTCTTGTTTTGCACTCATGGTTTCGTCTGTCTAAACATATGTGCTATACGGCATAATGAGGTTGTCAGTACCCTCGTGCAACTTACGATACTTGTCTAGTAAGTGGTAGCATATTTCTGTTACTGTTTCGCCTTCACGATCTACAGATACGGCGAATAGGTAGCTTTTAAGGTTCAGATAGCGTTGTTCTTATAGCACTGAGATAGTGAGATACGGGTGACGCGTCTCGGCCATTGTACCTCAGCAATATGGGAAATTTGTACAACTGAGAAGTGGCATCTACGAATCTTTGGACACATTATGCAAATGCAAAATTAGGGAATCGTCAAGCAGGTATGTTGACAGGCTGAATACCCTGTGGACAGCCCAAAATGAATAGGATCAAATATACCGGCTCTCACGAACCGGTGTGAGCTCATTAACATTGGCTATATTTGTGACGTTGTTGCTCCTCGTCCCGTATAAAAGCAGGACCATCGAAAACTGAGTTACTGACTTGCGAGATGTATTCTGCACAACGATCGGTTCTGTTATACCCTGGGTTCTCTCTACAATTCATATTATATGGACAAATATATAATTGAGAAGAGCCAGTTAGAGAAATTCGACGTTTAAGCAATACTCCCTTTGACATTACATTTAAGCCGAGAAAGCCCATGGGATATTCTTAGTATTTTCGTAGACGATGGAATTCGCACTGGAGTATGCATCACCAATTCTTTTTATCAGATGTTTTTCAGCCTTGCCACGGCGTTCGTATCATTTACTATTGCGTTGTAAAATTTGACCAAGAATAAGTAAGAGTAACATTATCCAGTGACTTCTCCGGATTTGCGAGGTGCAGCCTCACGGTCCCCTTGTTTCGATGGTCTATGGGGGCTGTTTAAGTAAGCCACGTCTCCGCGGCATTTTAACACGTGCAGTGCACGGCGCAAAACAGCACAACATTGTGGCTTGAGAAAAAACTTGCTGAAACTCCAACAAGTATTTCTAAGTTCATGGACATATGTATATCAGCAAAGTTTTGTTCTGAACACTTCTGAAAGCAATAGTTGTGTAGATTTTCTGGCGCTTTTGTGTAAAATCATATTGAGTTCTTTAGTTATCAGATGATGGAAAAAGGCTGATGCACTGTTGAACTCTGAGCATAATAATGGCTGCTGTAATAACAAATCAGCCCCCCCCATATTTAGCCGTACGCAAGAAGAAGAAGATCGTTTTTAACATATACTGCGTTTTGAGTAGACCACTAGGCATGACGGTTTGGAGCAAATTCGCCTGCACTGCTGATTTCATGTCAGATTTGTGCAAATGTAGCAATTGACTTCATGAAAGACTACATCATCTTGAATACGGGTACAGTAACTCCAGTTCTCCAGTCCCCTGGTGTCTTACCCGCACTCATCGCAGTTTGACAGACACGTGTTAGCCAGCACATGCCTTGCTCTCCTAATGCCTTGAGCATCTCAGGACGGATTTTATCAATTCCAGCGGCTTTTCCATTTTTCAAGCTTTTCATAGCTTGTGCAATTTCATCTGCAGAGATAGTAATATCCCTTCCCTGCTGTTCTACCGGCGAGTCTTCCTGTGGTTGCTCCTGATTAAGGAGTTGCTTAAAGTACTCCCTCCATCGCCGAAGAATGACATCATCCA